CTTCCTTTTATTACACTCTGCGTACTGCCTTTTTTACAAAGTGAAGGTTTGTGGCAACCCTGTTTCAAGCTAGTCTGTTGGCACCATTTTTCCAACAGCATTTGCTGAGCATTTCTCTCTGTGTCACATTTGGTAATTTTGGTAATTCTCTGATTATTTCAAAATTTGACATTATTATTTGTTTTATATATATATAAAATATGTGAACTCACTGAAAGCTCAGATGATGGCTAGCCATCATCCAAAATCCACACTTTTTATTTGATTGATGTACCTCTTTTAATGATAAGTCTCTCTCAAAGTTTTCCCTTGAGTTTCCCACCCCCTTTACATTTTACTTAAATCCAGCTTCTTTGTCCTGTATTCTTTCCTACAATTTGAATTTCAGGAATTGCATCTCTGTGGTGGTGTTTAAAGTGGCCCTCTGTTTTCTGTAATCCTTGCAAACCTATAGTAGATCTCTAGAGAGGCTTGATAAGATCAGGTTATAGTTTTTTAAATTTAATCTAGAATGTCTCATAGATGAAGTGTGTACTATCATTAGGAGTCACATGATACCATCTTTCTTTTTTGTGATAGTAGGATAGCCTTATCTGTTCAGGATAACATTTCCTACCAGCTCTTCTCTGTTTTAGCGGCCACTGACAGTCATTGTGTCGCCCTAGATCCATCACTTCATTAAAGGTTGCAAGATGGTGACATTCTCTATTATCCCTCTTCAATTATTAGATGGAATATTTCTATAAAGAAAAGCTTTATAGATGCCTGGGTGGCTCAGGTCATGATCTCGGGGTCCTGGGATCGAGTCCTACATCAGGCTTCTTGCTCAGCAGGGAACCTGCTTCTCCCTCTGCCTGCCACTCCCCCTGCTTGTGCGTGCTCACTCACGCGCGCTCTCTCTCTCTCTGATAAATAAAATCTTAGAAAAAGAAAAACTTTACCGGGTGCCTGGGTGGCTCAGTCGTTAAGCGTCTGCCTTCGGCTCAGGTCATGATCCCAGGGTCCTGGGATCGAGCCCCGCATCGGGCTCCCTGCTCAGCACGAAGCCTGCTTCTCCCTCTCCCACTCCCCCTGCTTCTGTTCCTGCTCTCGCTATCTCTCTCTCTGTCAAATAAATAAATAAAATTTTTTTTTTAAAAAAGTGTTTACGGAGTGATTAAATCATGTCTTCTTTAAAAAAAAAAAGAAAAGAAAAACTTTACCTTGTCAAACTGGTTACTGTGAGATATAGTTTGTGCAATTAAAATGTCATCATTTCAAGAAAGTTCTCAAAATAATGAGTTGATTTCATACTATTCTCTAAAGGTTGACCAGTGACGGTTTTTGTTGTTCTGTCGGTACAAACTCATGGTTTTTAACATTCAGTTCGCCAATTGGCATTTTTATTGGAATCACATTAAATTTATATATTAACTTAGGGGAGAATTGCTGTCTTTTTATTTAGTCTTCTTATGCAAGAACAATTATGCCTTTCTGCTTCTTTAAATCTGCTTCTGTATCTTTAGTGGTTTTTTAAAGTTTCTCTTAAAAGATAGTGTGTGTTTTTTCAGTTTATACCTTAGGTATCTTCTTTTTTTATTGTTATTATAAACCAGGGTGTTTTCCACTGCAGTTTAAGTAGTTACTTATGAAGTTTAAGTTTATGAAGTACTATGTATGAAGGCTATTGCTGTCTTTGTGTTAATTTTGTATCGTGCTGTTTTATCTGTCAAGAACTTGCTTCTGAAATGCAGTCATAGATTGTATAAGGCATATCTTTCCTGCATGATAGTAAGGCCTTTGCATAAAACCACTTTGTCTTCTTGGTGGTTCAAATGCAGTGTTTTTTACAACCTGTGAGAAAAATTTTGTTGTGTTTAAAAATCTGCCAAAGTCAAGAACTTGATCGACACAGAGCAGAATTTCTTAGCCTTGGCACTGTTGACATTTTGGGACAGGTATTTTTGGTTTATTAGCATACCTGGCCTTTACCCATTTTTAAAAAATATATTTTTAAAAGATTTTATTTATTTGAGAGAGAGAGCGATTGGGAGAGAGAGAGCGAGCATGAGCAGGGGGTGGGGGGAGGGAGAGGGAGAAGCGGAGCCCGATGCGGGACTCGATCCCAGAACCCTTGGGATCATGACCTGAGCTGAAGGCAGATGCTTAACTGACTGAGCCATCCAGGTGTCTGGGCCTTTACCCATTTGATGCTAGCGATACTCCCCTTCTCCCAGTTTTGACAACCAAAATGTCTCCAGATATTGCCAAATGTCCCTTGAAAAATTGTTCTCAGTTGAAAACCATTGGACATAAGGAAATGGTTAAACTATGGTCCATCTAAATTATAGTTTAATATTAAGATAAATTCAATTTAAGGAAGAAAATATACCATAAACCCAAGTATTTGTCTGTATAAATACATATGCATATGTACTAATGCATAGAAGATAATCTAGAAGACCATACACAGTGGTTGCTGTTAGTGGAAAAAAAAGAGTATGCAAATAGTGGGATGGAAGATTTTCTTTAGTATTGTTGAATTTTTTATGTTTTAAAATTGTATTCAAGTATTTTCTGTATGTGTAACAGAATTTTAAATTTTTAAAAAAGATTTTATTTATTTATTTGACAGAGATTGCGTGTGCACAAGCAGGGAAAGCTGCAGAGAGAGAGGGAGAAGCAGGCTCCCCACTGAGCAGGGAGCCTAATGTGGGGCTTGATCTAAGGATGCTGGGATCATGACGTGAGCCGAAGGCAGATGCTTAACTGACAGAGCCACCCAGGCATCCCTAGAATTTTAATTTTAAAAAAGATTGTACACTTGACTGGTTTTTTTACTTAATTTTTTTAAATGTATGAGGGTTATAATCAAGTATCAAAAGAAATAGTGAACTTTCATTTGTTAAAAATGTTATAGGAGTTTGGGGTGGCTTTTCTTTACTAAAAGGAATTGCTTTTTCAATTATATGGACTCTCAAGATCAAATTCAGAACAGTATTACTGTATACACGTTTCTTCCATTTCCACATTTGCTTTTCTAAATACATAAAACACTATATAACTAGCTCTCCTAAATTTCAGAAAGTCATTAAATTTTTAGCAAGAAAATTGAAATATTTTATTTGTTTATTTATTTATTTTTAAAAAGATTTTATTTATTTATTTGACAGAGAGACAGCGAGAGAAGGGAACACAAGCAGGGGGATTGGGAGAGGGAGAAGCAGGCTTCGTGCTGAGCAGGGAGCCCGATGCGGGGCTCGATCCCAGGACCCTGGGATCATGACCTGAGCCGAAGGCAGACGCTTAACGACTGAGCCACCCAGGTGCCCCAGAAAATTGAAATATTTAAAATAAACAAATTCTCTCAACTAGTAACTACTTACATAATTCTGATGATTTTATGAACATGCCGAGTTATACATTCTTTATGCCTCCTACCTTGTTGTAAGCAGTGGTTCATGGTTCCTTCCCTCAGGTGGCTTTGTTAACATCACACCACAAAACCCATCACAGACAACAATCAGTGCTCTAATAGACATGTAAGGTGAAGGTACACAGAGCATGCAGCTAGCTCTTTTGGGGGAACTGGGAAAGATACTACAGAGGAGATGACAGTTGCGCTGAATTTTTTTTTTTTTTTAAGATTTTTTTTTTTTATTCTTATGTTAATCCCCATACATTACATCATTAGTTCTAGATTTTTTTTAAGATTTTACATTAGAGAAGAGAGCACCGGCAGAAAGGAGAGGCAGAAGCAGGTTCCCCATGAGCAGGGAGCCCGATGTGGGGCTCAATCCCAGTACCCTGGGATCATGATCTGAGCCGAAGGCAGACACTTAACACACCGAGCCACATAGGTGCCCCTAAATTTTTAAAAAATAATCTCTACGCCCAGTGTGGGGCTCAAATTCACACCCCAAGAACAAGAATTGTATCCTCTACTGACTGAGCCAGCCAGGCACCCCAGTTGAGCTGAATTCTTTTTTTTTTTTTTAAAGATCTTATTTATTTATTTGAGTGAGAGAGAGCATGAGAGGGGAGAGGGTCAGAGGGAGAAGCAGACTCCATGCTGAGCAGGGAGCCTGATGCGGGACTTGATCTCAGGACTTGAGCAGAAGGCAGACGCTCAACCAGCTGAGCCACCCAGGTGCCCCTGAATTCTTAATTAAAGTTTAACACGGGGGGTACCATGAGGCAGAAATCTGTGTGGAATAATAATAAAAGACATAAAGTAGGGCCACCTAGGTGGATCAGTTGGTTGGGCATCTGCCTCTGGCTCAGGTCATGATCTCGGTCCTGGGATTGAGCCGCATGTGGGGCTCTCTGCTCAGCAGAGAGTCTGCTTCTCCCTCTCCCTCTGCCCCTCCTCCCTGCTCCTGAGCTCGCTCGCTCAGTCTCTCTCAAATAAATAAAATCTTAATAATAATAATAAAAGACATAAAGTGATTTTTAAAAAGAACTATTAGAAACCTGCTACATTGTAGTGTGTGATGCTGTGTCTTGAGAAAGAGCAAGAGATTGTGTAAGAATTCAGTGATGGGAAATTAAGATAGAGTTAAACTTAGTGTTGGGTCTGTTTTGGCTTTTTTCTTATGCTGTTGTTTTTCTTTGAATAACTCTAATAGCCGCCTGTAGCAAGTGGCATAATTTGGTTTATCAAATAGGGATTATCTGAGAAAGTAGTATGAAGGAAGGTTTTCATAGTGCTTAAAGAGTCTATTTACAGGGACTCAGGATAAAATCTGGGGGTCATTAGAGAGGGTCTCCGATGAAGCTGCTTTCAGGCTGACACCTGAGGGATGAGTCAGAGTTGTCCAAGCTGAGGGTTGGGGATTGGTGTTTGAGGCATATGTAATAGGAAAATCGGCCAGAGTGGCTGAAGTGGTGGTGGGAGTGGTATAACATGGCACTGAAGAGGCAGGCAGGAGGGTCACATCACGCACAGCCTCCTGGACCGTGTTCGTGTGTTTGATTCTCAGGAGATGGTATTTTCTAATACTAAGTCATCTTTTCTGCAGTACCAAATATGCCCCAACAGCGGCAAGACCAGCATCATCAGAGCACCATGATGCACCCAGCCTCAGCAGCGGGCCCGCCAATTGTGGCCACCCCACCAGCTTATTCCACACAATATGTTGCCTATAGTCCTCAGCAGTTTCCAAATCAGCCTCTTGTTCAGCATGTGCCACATTATCAGTCTCAGGTAAGGCTGATATGATCTAACTCTTTATTTTTGTTCCATTTAAATAACTTTCAGTTTTAACCTCTAATATGGTAAAGGGGTTTTCCTTTACATTTTGTGCTCTGTGTTACAGTGAGGTAGATAGTTAAGTATTTGGGGGCCTTTTTAGTATAAGAAGGTTGCTGATCAATGTAAGTATTTCAAAGGAAATAGCCAAGAACATTCATTTTAGGATTTTCAGAGTTGTTTCTGTAACCCTGGAAAGCGTGGAGTTAAGACATCTAACTAAAATTTGCTTGACTCTATTCGATACTTTAATGTATTTTCTTTATATTTTGTTTGAACACAGCATCCTCATGTCTATAGTCCTGTGATACAGGGTAATGCTAGAATGATGGCACCACCAGCACATGCCCAGCCTGGTTTAGTGTCTTCTTCAGCAACTCAGTACGGGGCTCATGAGCAGACGCATGCGATGTATGGTAGGAAGCATTTTGTTTATCTCTTTCAGTGTGAGTGACTAGGAATTTGTTTTAAAGCTCTGAAAAGAAACTTTAAGAATAACTTAGCCTTTTATACCATTGAGGGTCAAGAATCTAAAGAAAAGATGAACCCATTTCTATAAGTCTTGGCAACATCATTTCAACTTCTGTTCCTGAAATTTGTCTGTCTTCAAATATCTCTCCTTATTTTAAGTGAAATAGAATGATTTGTATAACAGTATCATTTGTGGAGAAAGACCTTTTCCTCCTCTTCCTCATCAGTATTACAACCATTTGGTATGGCCTGCCTAAGGCATGCAAGAAAGTTTTACCACAATGAGAGCACTCTCTAGCAAGAAAGCATTCTGCTTCACTCCTTCCTCTGGCAGTCATTGGCATTACATATTTTTATTGCTGTTTGTTAAAATGAATGCTACTGTGTTTCTGCCTCATGCTGATTTTAAGGGGTCGAAATAGTATAATACTGGATCTCCTTTAGACATGAATCACACTTTAAATATAATGATTATAAGCAATGGTAAAATTAAAATGAGAAGTATCCTATGTAAAATAATTAAACAATATATAAAAGAATAATAGGCAAAAGTCTCCATCTTAGTTTTGTGGCTGGTGAACTTTGTGCAGGTCAACTTTGCATCTGTCTAAAGTACTAAAATAATATGGTTTTCAATGTTGACAATTTAAAATGACATTTCCCACTCATATCTTATAATAATAGAGTCAGTGAGTTGACCCATATTATATTTTTCAAAAAACTTTAGTGCTAGTTTCATTAAGATGTAAGTTTTGTTTTGAACTTTCCTGAGCACTCCTGTACTGTCATTTAGGTTTTCTCATTGGCATTTCAGTTTTTTGGAGTGGGAGGAAAGAAATTTAAGTTTATTCATACAAATGAAAAGTATACCACTATGAGAAATTATCATTACAAACAATTATGTGGACATTTCATTTTTAAACCTTTTAAAACCTTTTTAATGACTGCAGTTATGATATTTTGTAGGTTCATAGGAATAAGGACTCAGCAGCAGTAAAGTTTCTTGTCACCCATAACCCGCTGCTTGTGCTTTCTTCCTGGAGGCATGCTCCCACTGTACATGTTTGCAGTGATAGGAATGTTAAATGATTAAAGGCATTGTTTTTGTAAAATACTTAAATCCAATCTTTATTTTACACATTATCACTTAAAACTTTCTACTGTGGATTATGCCCTTTAAATTAAAATGATGTATTTGCCACGTTTGGGGAAACTTTCTTACAAGAAACCCATTCATAATTTAATTGAAAAAAATACCAACAGACTGATTTGGCTTATGATTTTGGTTATGATTGCTTTTCATTGGCTTGTCTTAACCAGGACTAAGTATGTATGAAATTGCATAAAAGCGTGTTCATCACATATGCTTTTAAGCAATTTGTATACATTTCAACAATTTTCTGGTTTGCTAAAGGCTTAAGTGATGAAAAAGTTCATTATGATTTTTTATATATTTCTGGTAAATACATCATGATTTAACAAGTGGAAAAAAACATTTTTCCCCTCCCATTTTCTGGCATACTCCTCTTGGAATAAGATATAAACTTTTTGAGCTAAAATTTCCATTACTTTTTAGAGAATAGCTATTTGTGTACCCATGCTTATGAGACATTGTAGTGATACTGTGATGTTGAGAAGAATCTTTCTCCTCAGTGTGTTCACTCACTGCCAGCATCTGGTTTTGTCTTTTGGATGGATGTTCATTGGTTTGAAATAGCCTGTATAGTAAATACTGTATCTAAGACGCTAATGGTTTAAAACTACTTTCCCAAAACATTTACATTTGAAAAGTAGTTGTCCTTGGACCCTGAAGTCAATTCATATGTGGGTAAATAGGAAATACTGCAAACAAAACTCTAGGTCTAATGTCCAGTGAAATCTGGCATGATTTGTCATGAAGGCTAGTTCTTTATTGCCAGGAGAAAGTTGCTCAGCCAGACCTGAAACTACTCTCCTGCAGTTCACACAGGTTGTAGTTAATTGACGTCTGTTGATGAGGGCAGGCTGGGGTGAGGCTGTGGACTTGATATGGTTGTTGCTGGTTACTCAGGTTCTCATTAGGATACTTCATACTCTAAAAAGAACACTAGAAAATGAACTGTTTTATTCTTTGCCATCATAAGCCATAATTTAACCTAGTAAAGAAAGTTCATTAATTCTTCAGTAATTTATTTCAGTTATTTTAGATCTTCCAAGACACTTTTAAAAGTACATTATTTTAAACTAAGACAAATCTGTTGCATGGAAATGCTAATTTTATACTTCTTTCCCTTGAACAGTTTGTATTGCGTATTCCCAAAGGAACCAAGTATTTTGAGTATGAATTATGTCTATTTTTTTTTTTTTAAAGATTTTATTTATTTATTTGACAGAGAGAGACACAGCGAGAGAGGGAACACAAGCAGGGGGAGTGGGAGAGGGAGAAGCAGGCTCCCCGCAGAGCAGGGAGCCCGATGCGGGACTCGATCCCAGGACTCTGGGATCATGACCTGAGCCGAAGGCAGTTGCCCAACCAACTGAGCCACCCAGGCGCCCGAATTATGTCTATTTTGAAGCTTCATTCTATCTAAATATTTTCAACTTTTTATGCCAACGAAAGAATATGCACCCAGATGTTGGCGACAGTTCTGTGTCACCCTTTGGTCATTTTTTCATTGTTAACAGCCATAGCAAAAGGCTTTGAGAATAGAAAGGGCACTAAGGACTACAAAATGAAAGACTGATTATTGTCTTTAAATGGTTGGTATATTTAATATAAATATGCTGACAGATTATTGAACAGCTAAATTGCTAGGAGAAATATTAGACATTTTAAGTAGTTCTTGAACTTGTTCTCTTTCTAGTTATCTTAGGAGTTTGATCACAAACTTCATCTCTTTGACCTTAATCTAACTTAAATCATTGACTTCGCCCCTTCCCTCCTAAGAAGTTACTTTTTGTTTCCTAGTCTCCTAATTCACCTAATTTTGTTTTTTGGCAGCGGTGTTTTCCCTTTCAGAAATAGTAGTAACGAAAATTTCTCTACTAACTGAAGCCATCAGGAAGAGTTAGATCCAGAATCCTCTTTGAGTTTGTTTTTGGTAGTTTAATGCAGATAAATGAGAAAATACAGGAGGCAAAAAGATTTAAAATGCACCTATTATCCTTCCACTTGACAACTACCTGTTAACATTTTGGTGCATATCCTTCCAAATGTACTTATTCACACACCCATTTATGTAGATATTTTAATAAATGATATTATACTCATGTTTAATATTACCATTATTATGTTTCTAAATTTTTGGGTTCACTTCCAGATGCCTAATAAATAACTTACAGAATAATGATGCTTCTATTAATAATGATATACAAAATTGTTTGAGTCTTTTGAATTAAACTTGGTAAATATTCTCTTATTTTGGTACATTATTTATATTCAGGTTCAGTGGAATGCCATGTTGGTCTTTTGATTAGATAATGATTTTATTCCTTTCATTTAAGCAAGTCAGCATGTGGAACTCGACACATCAGTACAGAAGAAAAAGTATCTTTTGGTTCAGTCCTTTCTTGTTTAATTTTGTAGCAATGTTTAAAGTGCTTGTCATCTCTTGTAAAATAAGAAAAATGATTTATGCATGAATACAAAAAAATTACTAAATATGTCAACCTTTCCAGAAAATTAGGAAAATGCACACCTCAGAAGGCTAATTTACCTTTCTATTTCCCAAATTCAGCATGTCCCAAATTACCATACAACAAGGAGACAAGCCCTTCTTTCTACTTTGCCAGTGAGTTGGGTTTTTTATACTAATTTTAATTGAACAGTAAAACACTTTTTAAAGAATACATGTTAAGGGAGTAGACTTGTTGAGCAATATTTTCCTTGTGCCAGACAAAATCGTTGAATATATGTATATTTGTAAATAATTCAGAGTTTTAAAAAAGGAAATACAACCCAGCTTAAGGAAGCTGGAGTTAATTAAAAAATTGAGTTGCTTCAGAAATTAATTTTTGCATACCAAGCAAACATGTGATGACTGTTTTGGAAAAGCCTAATATTTTCATTGTTCAGAGAAACTTCTGCTGAACTGCCCTTTTTTTTTTTTTTTAACCAACCCACAAATTTAGTATAAAAAGCTTAAAATATTAGGCTTTTTCAGTATCCTGGTGAGAAGAAATTTATCCTTACAAGGATTTTTTAATTGAATAGGGTTGAAATTCTAGGTGAGAAACATTTCTGTCTTTTCAGTCTTTGCATGACTGAAGAAGGTTTAAAATATTTAGGTGGTAGACCCCAGGATGTTTTGAGCTTCATCAGGAAAGCGCAGCCTGACTGCTTGATTATGTTTGGCAGCCCTGGCCTCTCTCATCACCAGTGAAAAGGTAAATAAACAATGGCTCCTAAATGGAGAAAGTCTGGGCAGGGCTCTCTTTTGGAAATGAACGTGTAAGGTGTGTCCTCTTTATTTTGTAGGGCAGTTTTAAAATAAGGCTAGTCATGGACTTTTGGTATTTGGATAAGAAAGGCACTGACTTGCACAAGTCCTTCAGAAATGTATGCCAGGAATGAGTCACTTGATGTGCAATACTATATTCTAAGGGATATTAAGGATTAAGATTTTAGATACTAAATTTTGGATTATTTTAGAAAGACTTAATGTCTAAATCTACTAAATGCCAGATTTTAAAAAGTTGAGAAAATATTTTGACTTAAGTTTTCATTAACTGTGTCATGACTTGGTATCCAAAAATAAGTGTGTACATGTTATTCATTTGGTGCTAGGAATTGTTAACAAATTTAATCCTTTAATAGATGCTCTTTAAAAAGGAGTCTTGCTGTATATCTATACTATGAAAGGGAAACTTTGTATGTGATATAGTATGTAAAAGACAGTGTCAGAAATTAATTTTATTATGTACTCAGTTTGAGGTCTCAAATGTAGTTATCCTCACCATCTTACTGTCTCTGATAGTAATTTTGGAGTCAGTTTCCTGAAGTAGCTAAAAGGTCCTTAATCATCAAACCTAAGTATTAACTGCCTTAGTACAACATCCCCTGAAAGGAATTACTAGTTTTTAAAAGAAACTAACAGTGGGGCTACTATTTGTAATTTAGTTTGCTGCTTTGTACCACCCCTCCCTGCAAGCCATTTTGTCATGGTTTGGTCTAGTTGCCTTTTACTCCCCTCTTAAGAATTCAGTTTTCCTTCACTTCCTTTTTTCTGAATTTAACATCAAATGGGAAGATTTTGTTTTCGTTTTTAGTTTTACAGTGCTGGTGATCTCTCCTGACTTGTGCATCCAAGGTCAAAATGATAAAACCTGGTTAAAAATTAAACTCACAGCCTTATGGACTGAATTGGCTTCAGTAAGGTCATGGCTTAGGAAACAATTTTTATTTGTTTAGTGTTGTGGGGATTTTGACAAGTCACACATTTAGAGTTTTAAACGCTTGTATCAAGGAACACAGTGAGTGGGAAACTTCCGGACCAGGTAAAACCCAAAAAAGCAATACTTCTTTGATTAGCCTGAATTCATCTGGGTTTCATGAAGGCAACTTAATTTTTATAAATAGAAGTTTAATTGATGAATAGCTAAATCAGAATTTTGAAGAGAATTTGTTTTTAACCTTTGGAATCTTTAGCTAAATTAATGAAATAATTATAATAATTACAATAAAAGCAGTTAATTGGTAGACTCAGCTCAGTAAAGCCCAGCATTTACTGTCTTTCACTCTCCCCTTCTCCCTTTCCCTAATTCTAGTAGATTTTTTCCTCATTTATTTTACTAAAGGAACCCGACTATATTTTTGTGGTTATGTAAGTATTGAATTAAAAAGTGTCAATTTCACATTTTTCCCAATTAGCTACCCAGTTTTTGTATTTGAGTGGGGGGAAGAATTCCTGGATGAGGAACTTGCTTAGTAGGTATCTTTTAAGCAACAAGATAAACAAAGGAAATTATTTCTGATTAAACCTTTTAAAGTTTTATTTGCAGTTAATGATGCATATTTACATGTGCTTGATTTTTCTTGCAGTGCATTGTAGTTTGCTCTTGTTTAGGTATGGAAAGGATAGGGTATTTTTTTTTTTAAAGCAAAAGCCTGTGTAGATGCACACAGTTTGGGTTACTTGAAGTATTTGTGCTATGAATGCAAATGAGATATAAATTAGAATATTTTATAGCCTTTCAGTGTTGGTAGACTACTATCCACAGAGATGCCTTTTAAAAATGCACAGTAGGGGTGCCTGGGTGGCTCAGTTGTTAAGCGTCTGCCTTCGGCTCAGGTCATGATCCCAGGGTCCTGGGATTGAGTCCCACATCGGGCTCCCTGCTCGGCAGGAAGCCTGCTTCTTCCTCTCCCACTCCCCCTGCTTGTGTTCCTGCTCTCGCTATCTCTCTCTCTGTCAAATAAATAAGTAAAAAAAATCTTTAAAAAAAAAAAATGCACAGTAAAACATACTTCATCTTAAAAAAATTTCATCTTTTTTTCCAAATTTCAAGATTTTAACCTTTTTTAATTGATGAATTACTTCATTATGAGATTTCATGGGCGTAATTATTCTCCTTGGGTGAGGTAATGTTTTTATGTCGGAAAATTAATAATATAGCACCCAGCTAGAATTTATTTATTTATTGTTTTTATTTCCTTAAACCTTTGCGTAGAAGGTTATTAAAAGTACAAACATTTCTTGAATAAATAAAGTTTAAAAAATAGAATCTCCGAGATTCTGTACTTTGTGAAACCTCATAAATTGAATTTGGGATTCAGGAATTGCTTCCCCCTAGATAGATTTAGTATTGTTAGAAATGAAACACTTAAGAAGCTTGGGGGTAGGGAGGATTTTAACGCTAATACTGTGAAAATAAGGAGCATGAGGGACGCCTGGCTGGCTTAGTCCTCAGAGCATGGGGCTCTTGATCTCAGGGTCGGAACTCCACGTTGGGGGTGGAATTGTCTTTTAAAAAAAAAAAAAAAAGGCCCGTGAATTGACTCTAGACAGTATCCTCCAGTAGAACTTTCTGTGATAATAAAAGTGTACTGTAAATTGTGCTGTGTGATCAGCAGCCACTAGCTGCATGTGGCTATTATAGTTATTTATTTATTTACTTTAAATTCTTATTTATTTGACACAGAGAGAGAGAGAGACAGCGAGAGA